CAGGAGCTGGCGGCCGAGGGCAGCCTGGGGTAGAGCGTGTCGCCCGGGGTGGGGCCCTCCAGCAACACGGACGGGGAGGACGGTGTCCAGGCACCCCGGTCCTACCCCAGAAGGGCAGGCGTAGCTGCCGGGCCGGAGGTTACGAGGCTGGACTTGGTTCAACAAGCTTGTGTAGTGAAAGAGCCTGACCCTTTCCGTTCATAAAGGAAATCTTGACTTCTCGATAGGAGTAAATCTGGTTTCAGAAGCTGTTAAGTGTTTTCCTGGCTGCATGAAGCAGACCCTTCCCCCGGAGTAGTGCACGCTGCTGATTATTTTATCGACATCCTCAATACAGACAAATTCAGGAAACACTCGACTTCTGATAGCCGGGATCCGTTTTTCTGATATTGTTCATTTCCTCTGTGTGGGATGTGACTTTATGGCAGCTAAAATAACCAGTTGCTTCCTTTTTTTTTTTTTTTTTCTTCTCGAGGCTGTTTTGCACCAGTCTGAAGCCTGACGCAAGCAAAATCTCGAAAAAACAATGCCAGCTTTCAAAGCGCTTAGGCGCAGGCCTGCAGTCGCACCGACGGACGGACTGACAGACACCTCTTTAGAGCAGGAAGGTGCAGACCCGGGCAGCAGTTAGGAAGGGCAGCGCACTGAGCAGTTTGAGGGGCTTGCTCCTTCCGTGCGCAGCCTAAGAAATAAGCCACCAGTGTCAGGACTCGGGTGACCCTTGGCGCCCCTGGGGTCTTAAGCCCCAGGACAGTTAAGGGTGAGGGGAGCTTACCCTGGACTACCAGAATTTTACATCAACTCTGTTTATTAGCAGCTTCATCGTCACTATAGTGGCGGGGTCTCTAGTTCAGTGCACTTTAGCTTCTCAACGCTAACAAGATTTGGGATGTGTGAGTTACATTTTCTTAAAAGGCTATTTATTATATTTTTATTTTTATCCCAGCCTTCCTGGTTTTGTGCCAAGGCCCCCGTGGCTCTGTCCCCAGTTGGGGCCGGAGCGGGACTCTCAGCCCTGCTGGGTTTGAGGACGAACGTTTTCACAGAGCGCGCCCTGGGTTTCCTTGGGTTACTTCTGGGACCGCGCAGGAGGAAGCAAAGGGTTTTTCGTGATAGACCAACAGGAAACACATTGACGGAAATGTTGCCATAGTCCATGGGGTGGTTTTAACTGGCCACCCCCGCGGGCCGGGTGTGAAATCAAAGGAGGTTCGGCGCCTTAGGGCCAGGATTGGAGGCACCACGCGCGGCCTAGTTCGTCCCCCAGCGCCAGCGCTTCTCGGGCAGCCAGGCTCAGGGTGCTGTAGCAGCCCCATTCCTCCCCAAAACGCGTACACTAGCGTCTCTGGAAAGTGCGTTTCAGCAAGGGAGAGGATTGAGAGGTACAAAAAGCTGTGCATAATTTCCAGACGACTTTTGAAAAAGTTGTCATAGAGTGTTAAGCCCAGCCGGCAGTGAGCATTTACTTGGGGATGGAAAAGATTTGTGTTATCTAGTCATAGGTGTGATGGTTGTGTGTCCGAGTGTACGGGGTGCTCTGTGTGTGCCTATACGTAGCTGTGTGACTTTGGATGCTTGTATGCGTACGTCAGGGGTTGGTGGGAGCCTGTGGGGTCCCTGTGCTGGGTATGTAGTTGAGTAAGTCAGGTTGAGTGGCTTCGTGCATCTCCTCCCACCCTTCACCACCGCCTCCAGGGTGGTCTAGAGGATGCTCCGCAGCTCCAGCTCCAAGGCCCTTGCTAACTACTACTCTGCTTGCGCTAGGCAAACCCGTGCTCTGGAGTCCTTTCTTGCAGAGGCCTCTACATAAAAGGAAAGGTGGTCAGGTGAGGTTCTCCAACGACCAGACCATCGAGCTGGAGAAGAAGTTTGAAACGCAGAAATACCTCTCCCCTCCTGAGCGGAAGCGTCTGGCTAAGATGCTGCAGCTCAGCGAGAGACAGGTGAGCTCTCCCAGCTTGGGAGGAGAGACCGGCTTCTGGGGGTCGGGGCCACCAGGACCAAGAGCAGTAGAGAGGCAGGAAAGTGCGTTGCACTCCGATGCTGTTCAACGTTTGGAGGGTTAGTTGGCTCCCCAGTCCCAGATCTGCTTCTCTTGTCCTACCCAGGCTCCTCGGGATTCTGGGCTCTTGGTAAGGTTTCTTTCTCTTTCCTGTAGGTCAAAACCTGGTTTCAGAATCGACGCGCTAAATGGAGAAGACTAAAACAGGTATCAACGAAGTAGTTCTGTTTCTATGGGAATAAATATTTGTATCATGTTATCTCAATGCGGGGCCTGTTATGGGTTGTATGCAAAAGTCATTTGAGAGACTATTTAACCTCTTCACCTTGATTAAAAAGGCAAATAGTCCTGCTGAAATTCAGGATGAGTTGCTCAGGTGGCAATAATGCTAAAAGCACCTAATGCAGTTCCTATATCAATTATGCTTGGGTTTTCACACACTGGCTAGTAAAACTCCCAGCTAATTGTTTTATAAACCCCATATGTTGTTTATCTAATTAATGCAGGAAAGATAAAGTAATTGACAGTAAATGACTTAAGCAGTTATCTTTGGGAGAAAATTGTTTCTTTTATTTACACAGCCATAATAAAACCAGGCAGAACTCAAGAGTAAGTATAAGGACACAAACACCTTTCAGTCTTGTTTGTGCTGTCTTTAAGCAGAATAAAATATCACAAAGTTTAAAAATTATTTTCCATCCAATGCCAACTCTTCAAATGAGTCTAAAAAATGTAGGGAAATATCCAAGCCTGTTAGGAAAGTAGTTTAAAATTTCTAATCGTCTTTCCTTCAGTGACCTTGTTACGCAATATATGATAAAAAGGAAAGGCCTATTCAGTTTTTAAGGAAGCTCTCTTGGTCTAAAGCTGAAGATCTGTTTTTGATATCCTAATCTGGATATGTTTCCACAGTTATCTGACAGTTACTGAATTGTTAATTTTCCATTGTAAATGATAAATATACAGTATTTTGAAATAATATGAGTGAGGAAATTTAATATGGGTTGTTAAATTTATTGATCATTACTTTTCCATTAAAAATAAGATATCCCAAAGAAAGATCATTTTGAAACATAAAATAAAATTCCTGTAATTTTATTATTCTATCATTATTTAAATATTTGCAGATTTCTCCTCAGGCTCTGACCTTGTACATATGTTACACAGTTGAAAACTTGAATGTAGTACTTTATTTTGTTTAAAAAAACAGTATATGATATTTTTCCTCTATATAGTATAGTATTAATATTCATTTTATTTAAGCACAGGATTAAAAATTCACTGACTTATTTAATTCTTGTTCAAAAGCTTTTTTTGGGGGGGTACAGGAGATCAAACTTAGGACCTTGAGCTTGTGAGGCAGGAGGTAGAACGACTGAGACAAATCCCCAGCCCATGGGGACTCTTAAATTAGTAGTTTCTATATAGTATGGAAATACTTTTCAGGAATTTCCTCCAGATTTTAAGCAAACTTTAGTTAACTCTCTCCCTTCTTAGCAACATTCTATTTCTTTTTTTTTTTTTGGCAAGATTTTGTCTCTTGCTACATATTTGTGTACATGTTTATAAATTTACATTAAAATGAATAAAAAATAATTCAATCTAATAATTTGGAAACTTTCTTATTAATTCACCACTTTTTGGTGGGGAGGGGAGTGCTGGAGATTGAATCTGGGGCCTTGTAGAGGCCTCAATCCCTAACATTCGTATTCTTAAAATGTCTGTAAGATTCTGTTAATTGGACAAGATTTAAATATCTAAAGAAAAAGACAGTGTGCAGCTGTTTTTTCCCCCTCAAATTTTTAAGAATCCTGATACCATGGGTCTAGGGTGGTATTAACCAGTTGCACCAAAGGTTGCAACTTTTTGAATTTCTGCATGAAATTTATATGTTACTGAGAAAATTCAAGGAATGAGAATTCGAAGAGAAAATTTTTATATTCCGTTGTTATGTGCCATTCCAAAAGTGGGGCACTAGGCATAAAAGGATTGTTTCATTGATGCAGTACATTTACACTTACATTTGTGACTCGTACTTGTATTTCTTTCAAATCAAGAATCACAAGAACTTATTTTCTAAATGAGAAGATTATAACTGAAAACATTTAATAAACTGAAGAAAGGTGCTGTAGGATGAAAAGACATTTTGATATATATGCCTCTTCTCCGTATTTCATGATCCTGCCGATTTCCATTTTCATCCCCTCCATCCAGGAGAACCCTCCAAGCAATAAAAAGGAGGAACTGGAAAGTTTGGACAATCCCTGTGACCAGAGGCAAGACTTGCCCAGTGAACAGAATAAAGGTGCTTCTTTGGATAGTTCACAGTGTTCACCCTCCCCTGCCTCCCAGGAAGACCTTGACTCAGAGATTTCAGAGGATTCTGACCAGGAAGTGGACATTGAAGGCGATAAAAGCTATTTTAATGCTGGATGATGGTCACCAGAATTGGCATGTTCAAAAAGCTGGACTGGGAAATAACAGTTTGCTATAGAAATTCTTCACGGAAGAACTGGAAAATTATAAGAGAAATGAAAATCCATTTTCTAGTATTCTGGATACCTAAAAATATTTGGTGCACTGGCTTATTAGAAAAGTTACAATGAAGCCTTAATTTTAACTTAACAAATGTTGTATGTACTGATTATAGGTTGTTTTGATAAAAATTCATGCCCCTTTCCCCTTTTTAGAAAAAAAGAAAGTTTGTTGTTTCTATTTATAAAAAGTAATTTTGAACTTTTGTTAAATTTTTAAGTTATAGCTTTAAAGGTTTAATGGGCTCTTCTTGAATGACTTTCTATAACCTGTATTTACGTCCTACTTAGTGGCAAAGCAGAAAGCACCCCCAAATCCAGTGCCTTAGAAAAGAGGCCTATATTTCAGGCAGCCTTGGAATACTTTAAAAAGGAAACAGTCTTTACTTTTATATGCTATTCTTAACTGTTGCCTTAAATCCACAACCAATTCAGAGCAGAGCTGATAAGGCTCTTAAATACTTGGCTTTGCACTACCACTTAGTACCTGTTTGACAGAGGTGTTAAGAGGATAGTACTGTCCTACAGGCAGAGAAACTGACTCATAGGTGACTAACAACCTCAGCTGAACTAGAAATTCCAGATTAAGTGTAAGTAGACTGTAGATATTGTGTTTTATATCAAACGGTGTCTATAACGTGTGTATATAGAATTGTTCACTGTAAAAACAACGGCCAGAATTTTTTTTAATGAGTTCATTGTCTATAAAATAAATCTGTCCTTGGGACGACTGACCTCATCAGATATCACATTCTCTGGTTTAAATACACTCACACACACACACACACACACACACACACACACGCACGCACATGCACACACACCCCTTTTCTTAGAGCACCTCGAGGTACCTGCCGGGTGCTCTGAGACCCACCCGGAGTCCGGGCGCTGAGCTTTCTGTGGCTCTTGCTCCGTGAGTCCCGGCAGCACAACGGACCGAAGTGATGGACTAAGGTCGCTGGAACTGGAGTTTGGGGTGGAGTCTGGAGGGAGCTGGGTGCGGTGGGGTGTCTTGAGTGCGCCTTCCGCACGCCGAATATCCCCTACCCCTCTTCCCGAAATGGACTAGTCGGCCGGGCAGGCAGAGGCAGGCGGGTCCGCCCGAGCCCATCGATTGTCCCGGGCTGCGCGACTGGCCCAGACCGCTGACCTTGACCGATGTGAGTCAACACCACGTCACCCTTGAAGGCTCCGGAGCCCCTCTGCTCGGCTACGCCGGGGTTTGGGGGAGGGAGGGAGTTAGCACCAAGGCGCGATTCTCCTGCTCAGCCAGCTTCAGAATCACCCACGGGGCTTGAAACTCCTTCCCCTTCGCAGAGTTCAGATTGGCAGGTCTAGGGTGCGAGCAGGAATTGGAGTTTCTACAAGAGCGTGGCTTATGCCAAAGCTGCTGGTGCCAAGAGCATACTTTGAGAACCGCGGTCTAAGGTGCTGCTAGTGTGGAAGTAGCAGCAGGAACAGCTCACCAGGGGTTGGGGGTTGCAGCTGAGAGGGAGGAGGAGGGACAGAGATTAGGGGAACAAGGGAGTATCCTGGGAGGTACCAGTGAGGATTAATGGCTAGAGGAGGGTTCGGGATGCAAGAAGGAAATTCCAGGGACTTGACGGGAAAATGAAGGTGCTGAGACGAACGGGGACGAGGCTGAGGCTTCTGACAGTCCCGTACAAGGCTAGGCAGCAGCTACCTCCCTGCCTACCTGAGCCTGCTCAGGTCTTTGCCATTCCAGAAAAGCCACAACAAAGACCTGTGGGGAAGAGGCCTAGAAATCTCTCCCTTCTTTCTCTCCTCGAGTTGTGGGTGAGGACTTGAGACCTAATGACCCTACCCTGATCTGGCTGACACGGGGTGTGGCTGCCCAGATTCAGACCCTCAGTCAAAGACAGTGAAAAAAATCGTTACTCTTAGCAGATTGTTACATCTTGCCTCCATAGATCTCCACAAAAGCCCCTGGAATTGAAGGTGAGTTTGACTTTTAAAACTGAGTACTGATTCTTAGGCAGAGAGGTGGATAAATCTGGAAACTTGAAGATTTGCACTGGAGTTTCAGTTCTTAGCCTCAATCCTCTTATTTGTAGAACAAAGATGGTCTAGTTGAAATAGGAGACCCCTCCTGCTCCTCATTTGCCAACTCAGTTCATGATCTTGATTTTCCCCCCTATTCTACATTTTCTCAAAGTTAGAGCCCAAAGTAGCCACCCAGTGGGAGAGTTTTCCTTCCCATCAGCTGCTGGTTCCAAACTCCAGACTTTGCCTTTCAAGTTACATCAGGGTTTCAAAGGCCGTAATCAATCTTATCTGAAAATGAGACTATCAGATTTTTGGAGAATGGAAGGCTTGTGGACTTAGAATTAAATTAAAGTAATCCTGAAATCTGCACATGTTTTGCCTCTGCAGATAACCTCTGGTTAATATTTATTCTTATGAGTAACTGTATCATGACTATTAAGCAGAGAAACACCATGTATCGATTACTACTTGTAAACTTCAGGAGTGAAGTCTTGTTTTAAAGTCACAATTCCCTAGTCCAGGCTGTTTTCCAATTTAAAGCTAACCTTGATTCTTTTCAAGTTGCTCATGATCTGAACTAAACACGTCTTTAAATGTAACTGGAAGAGAGCTACAGTATTCTCAGGACTCAAGTTGGCATTAACATTTCTAAAATGCCCTATTGCAGACTGCCAGTGAATATTTACAAATTCTTCCTACAATCCAGGCATTTTTTTTTATTTGTTTGTCTTTTGGCTATTTCATGTTGAAGCGGCATGTATGACCTTTACAGCACAGCTCCTGTCTTGTTTTTTAAATCTTTTTATCAGGAGATTCAACTTGAAAACGGTTATCATTTAGCAGAAAGACAAACAGAAAAGCACATTTTTGTAAGCAAAACGTTAATGATTGGAAGAATTGCCCTAATTTCACCATGACAGTGTGTGATTAATCCCCTGGGTCGTGTACTTATACTTTAAGTTATTCAGTTTGTTGCTCTTTGATATTCAGAAACCTTGCTAACTTAATAGGATATTGATTTTGTTGGATGATGTACTTTGACTCTTTAAACAACATCACTTTTAGGGATGACTAGCCTGTTGTGTAGTATTTTATTTAGAGAACTATTGCATAAGATTTCTTTTTCTTACTTTTTATGGTTTTCTCAGGGTGAAAGCTGATAAGACATCTTGTGGGAAAAGAGGAAACCATCTCTGATAGTGAAAGTACCTATTCTCTTTCAACATTTCTGACAAGCTTTGTGTTTGTGGTTTTATTACTGTGAATATTCTTCTTAGTTAATGGGGGCAGGGCAGGAATTCAAGCAAACTTGAATATTTGGACTTGGGAGGAAAATGCACTTTTCTGGGAAGAGAATGCACCAAAATTCCCATTCCACTTAAAAGCTTATCCTTTTATTTCTCTTTGAAGTGAATATTGATCCTTTAATCTTTGATCAGAAGTAATAGTTATGTAAATAATGGTAACGTGGGATAGAATTTGGAAAACTAGCCACCAAGGATGTATCAAAATAGTTAGGAGCTTGGTATCTTGTGGTCAAAATAATCACACATGTGTTAACATTTACTTTTCATCTCACTGGGTCTCATGAAATCCCAGCTGGATTATCTGTGTCTAATCTAATTTTGTCCTTTGATACATTTTTTTGATATTTTTGTTAAACCCTGAATGATAAACACTTCGTAGATTCCTCCTACCCACCAACCTATTAGCTCCAAGGTCTACAGAATAGCAGCTACCCCTTCAGATGTGGCTTTGGGGGCCCTGTTGCCACAGAATTTATACCGTGGTGGATAAGAACAGAGATGGCACTAAGGCAGATGGAGTACTCTGCACCTCCTTTGCTGGTTGAGGGCCTACCCTGGAGTGGCATTAATACCTGGTGCCCAATGGGCATCAAATGTTAGCCAGAAAAGGTAGAAAGTGCCAGTGAGTCCCTTGTGAGACAACTCTTTGAATCAAAGTTGCAGTGGGGGAAACCTTCAGAAGTCGGATGTACACAAATCTCCCTAGACAATGGAGAGGGCTGTTGGAAGGAGACCTTGGAGCTGGCAAAGGCATTTCCTGTCTGTGGAGGATCTTGACTTTGGAGCTTCCGGGTCTCCACAAGGTTTTTGAGTCAGACTGACACTTTCCTATGTGGCTGGTTTACAAAAGAAAAAGGGGGGGAAAAAAAGAAAAAATAAATTTCCTTATCAGTTTCAGGCAAGAAAGGCAATGGGGTCACTTACCACTTTAAAATTTTTGTTTAGTACATATTTTCTAAGCATTTTAAAGAGTTTTTTTTTTAATCTGAAAAGGGAGGTTTATAATTTTTATTTTTATTAGTACAGGTTTATTAGCACATAATGATCCCGTTCATTTTGAATTGGTACATGTATATAACAGATCTTAATTTTTCTTTATGTCTTTACTCTCTTTTCCTGCCTCCCTCCATGAAAAATCATACAAATTTAAAAAACCTCACTACTTCCTGAAAATACATCTCAGATGAATAAGTATAGGAAAAAGTCAGTGGTAAAGGCTCCCTTTCCATGCTCATAAACACTTGTAGGAACACAATGTCTGTTGAGTTTGTTTTAATTTTGTTTATATTTTTCTTTTATAGTTTAATTATGTCCTTCCATCCTTCCTCTTCTCTCCACTTTTCTTCTTTTTATTCATACCATGCCCCCATTCCTTCCTTACCCTCATTTAGTTTACTTTTCCCCAAAGAGTAGAAAGTGACTAATCACTATTCATTAAATGTCACTATTAGGGCGACAGTTTCTTTTTTTTTTTTTTCCTCATTGAGTTTATTGGTACATTTTAGGTATACAGTACAGTTACATTCATCATTGGGATCTTGTACCTTTACATGACAGATCTTGGTTCTCATTTTTCCCCTTGTCCGGGCAACAGTTTCTTTATGCAGAAATGTTCAGCTTTCAGCTGAAGTGAGAATCCTGTTTGCAGGAGACGTGGCTGGAGGTCTAACGTACTGCTCCCACCCCTCTAGGAACAGTCCTCTAGCTTTTGGGGGTAAATGATGATAATGACATTATGACGATCCCGGTGTTCTAGAGCCTAGACGCTTGGTAGCACTAGGGGTGTAAAGAAGTTGCGAGGAAAGGCAGGCACACGGAGACTGAAAGAGCTCCTCATGCAGAGAAGAGGAAATAGAAGGCTGCTCCCAAACAGGGATAATCACGTCCTCATGCCGGAAGTTGAAAGGGGCCTGGAATTTTCAAAAGTTTTTGGAGGGCAGAAGTCTGGGTAAAGGATTCTGGACCTGTATTCTTCCCCTCTGGTCATTTAGGTCTCTTTGCCATGCTTGACTAG